ATATTGTGGGTACTCCATCACCGAAGGCTTTCAAAAAGAGACTGGACAGCCATTTATCTGAAATAATATAAGATCTCCTGCTTGAGCAGGGGGTTGGGCTGGAAGACCTCCAAGGTCTCACTCTATTATTCTACATTGTGTTCTACTCTGTTCTCCTCTAGCCCAGCCTGCAACAAATTGATTGTCGAATGTAAGCATATAGAAATGATAAGCATAGACAACGGCACTAAAATGAATCTTAGCCAAAGTCGGACTTAAGAATGTGCCATAATTTTCTACCATGCAGGCATTTCCTTAATCTGGAACAAGCTGTGTAAGCTATTTATGACAGGCGGCAAATATATTTGTATTTTACAATAGATATGAAATGACCATGGTAACAGTCATGTCAAGGCTACGTCAACTGTTGACTTTTTGTTTTTTAACCTGACCGAAGACCTCTTATTGTTTGCACACTTCCTGAATTCAGAAGAGCTTACATTCGTTTTATTTATTCTAACTAAGGTCAAACTTGATTTTTTAAAACAGTTTAAAACAGTTTTAACAGGGTTTTTTTTAACTACTTCCTTGCTGAGAAAGGAAGGAAATTGCTAGCTTGTGTTTTTTTTTTTCTTTCAAGATCGTTGCCTTGTTGCCTCCAAACTTGGAAAAGTTGAAGCAGGAGATTGTGACTTCTCACTGACTGAGTTTACAAACAAAACAACCACGTGTGGCTGCAGAAAAATGTGCAGACTCGGCCATTATGTCTTAATTATCCCTTAAATGCTTGGTTCAAAAGGAGAACTAGAGTAATTGCTAAACGAGAGAACAGAAGCCAAGTTAGACCGGGTCAACCACAAACACGTGTTTGGTGGTTTGGCAAGCTAAATTTTTGTGAGAGGTTGTTTTACTGGATATACAACTTTGACGTGTAATTTTAAATTATGTTCACAGAGATTGTTCTTTGAACGTTGTTTAATGTTCTAGCTTAGTGAGATCTAAGAAGAAATACTGTAAGGATGCTTGTCATATTTGCAAAAGGATTGGAAGACAGTCAGGGTGAAATGATGGTAGAATGGAGTGTGCCCCCATCTGCCACAAAAACGTCCTGGGTAATTTATGTCTGCCTCTCTTTTGTAGCTCAAGGTGGTGTGTGGCTTGCAAACAATAACAGAATAACATAATAGAATAGCAGACATGGAAGGGACCTTGGAGCTCACAGATTATCTGAAGAGTTTATAAAAATGTGAGTGCTTAACAGTTGAGCTGACCAAAGAAAACAGGGGAAAGGGAAGCATTTCCTGAGATTCTACAGGTTTCCTTTAATGACAATGTTGAAAGAAAAATCAGGTCCAGTTCCAAGTCAGGAATAAAATGGAGGCTGCTTTGGAAAGAAGGTATGTTTATTAATGAGCAGAACCAGCAACAGCATGCAGTTCTGGGACGGCTGACAAAATGGAGTTGAGAGTGGGTGGATTTTTATACCTTCCGATTGAGATGCTCCAGGGGCTTGTGCAATGTAGTGAGCCTTGTGTCAGTGGTGGTGGGTTAATCCTATTATGTCCTAAAGGACATGCCCTGTCCTTAGAATTTGTGTGGGGGATTGTACATTCTTAATCCCATCAGCTGTTGGGGCTGAAGGCATTTTGTTTATGAATAGATTGGCCCAGTCTTTCTGAATAGGTACAAATATCCATCTCTAAAAACTTGAGGCTTCTGCTTGAAGCTATTAAGAAAGACTGGGGCTGCTTTCTGCCTTTGTTAAGATTTTTTTCCCCATTTCCCCTTTGGGGAAATATAATACTCTGCCTCTTTTTCATATTAAGAATAAAGAATATTTTTAATGCAGGGAGGGAGGCCTTCCTACAATAACATTTCAGAAAACCCCTCTGGCAGCTTGGCTGAGGTTGTGCCAAACTCTGAAAGCTACTGTTTAAATAATAATGAATCTGATTACAAGGTTGCATTGCCTATCAACCGCGGTTGCAAGAAATGTTCAGTAAAGGTCTAAGCTCCCATCTGATCCTTGAAGCTCTTGGAAATTTGGAAAGCTGCTTGAAAGTGCTCAAGAGGAAATTGTGGTAGTAACAAAGATCTTTGGGGAATCGGAAGCCTCTTGGAGAAGAAGCACATGTCAACAGTGTTTGCCATGCAAGCAGAATGCATGCATGGAAATGCAACATTCAAGTGGCCTAACTCAGATGAGGCAGAAGAGAGAAGAAATAAAAAACAGACATTTACTTTAATTTCCTTTTAGACAAAGCACCTGATCAGCATCGGTGCTTAGAGCTCACCATAAAACATTAGATTTGAAAAGACTATCAACAGCTAAAGTTATTTTGTTATTTGGAACTGGATTTTGCCCAGACAACAGGATAGATCCTACAGTATTCTCAGTTGTGTTCTAAAATAAAGAAAAAATGCTTAAAATTTATATTTACCCATATTGTACGACTGTAGTATTATTATTATCCTTCTTATCCCCCATGCCATCACTCTGCTGATCACCTAATTCTCACAGGACTGTCTTATGTCTACATATATTTACCCTTATTGTATGGCTGTAGTATTGTTGTTATCTTTCTTATCCCATGGTGGCACAGTGGTTAGAATGCAGTACTGCAGGCTACTTCAGCTGACTCCCAGCTGCCAGCAATTTGGCAGTTCGATTCTCACTGGCTCAAGGTTGACTTAGCCTTCCATCCTTCCGAGGTTGGTAAAATGAGGACCCAGATTGTTGGGGTCAATGTGCTGCCTCTGTGAACCACTTAGAGATGGCTGTAAAAGCACTATGAAGTGGTATATAAGTCTAAGTGCTATTGCTATTGCTATTCCCCCATGCCATCACTCTGCTCATCATGTAATTCTCAAAGGACTGCCTAATGTCTATGTGTATTTGCCATGTAGCATGGCTGTAGTATTGTTATTATTTACCCTTCTTATTATCTTTCCTACTCCCCCCCTTATTGATATTATGATGATGATGATCATTAAGATCACATGAAGTGTTAATACCACTTTACAATGCAAATTCCTTTTGTTCTAACCATACTTCATCATTGTTGCTTTCTTCCAAGATTGTTGCCTTGTTGCCTCCAAGATTGGAAAAGTTGAAGCAGGAGATTGTGATTTCTCACTGACTGAGTTTACAAACAAAACAACCACGTGTGGCTGCAGAAAAATGTGCAGACTCGGCCATTATGTCTTAATTATCCCTTAAATGCTTGGTTCAAAAGGAGAACTAGAGTAATTGCTAAACGAGAGAACAGAAGCCAAGTTAGACCGGGTCAACCACAAACACGTGTTTGGTGGTTTGGCAAGCTAAATTTTTGTGAGAGGTTGTTTTACTGGATATACAACTTTGACGTGTAATTTAAATTATGTTCACAGAGATTGTTCTTTGAACGTTGTTTAATGTTCTAGCTTGGTGAGATCTAAGAAGAAATACTGTAAGGATGCTTGTCATATTTGCAAGAGGATTGGAAGACAGTCAGGGTGAAATGATGGTGCAATGGAGTGCCCCCATCTACCACAAAAACTTCCTGGGTAATTTATGTCTGCCTCTCTTTTGTAGCTCAAGGTGGTGTGTGGCTCGCAAACAATAACAGAATAACATAACAGAATAGCAAAAGTGGAAGGGACCTTGGAAGTCACAGATTATCTGAAGAGTTTATAAAAATGTGAGCAGTTAACAGTTGAGCTGACCAAAGAAAACAGGGGAAAGGGAAGCATTTCCTGAGATTCTACAGGTTTCCTTTAATGACAATGTTGAAAGAAAAATCAGGTCCAGTTCCAAGTCGGGAATAAAATGGAGGCTGCTTTGGAAAGAAGGTATGTTTATTGATGAGCAGAACCAGCAACAGCATGCAGTTCTGGGACAGCTGACAAAATGGAGTTGAGAGTGGGTGGATTTTTGTACCTTCTGATTGAGATGCTCCAGGGGCTTGTGCAATGTAGTGAGCCTTGTGTCAATGGTGGTGGGTTAATCCTATTATGTCCTAAAGGACATGCCCTGTCCTTAGAATTTGTGTGGGGGATTGTAAATTCTTAATCCCATCAGCTGTGAGGGCTGAAGGCATTTTGTTTATGAATAGATTGGCCCAGTCTTTCTGAATAGGTACAAATATCCATCTCTAAAGACTTGAGGCTTCTGCTTGAAGCTATTAAGAAAGACTGGAGCTGCTTTCTGCCTTTGTTAAGATTTTTTTTTCATTTCTTTCCTACTCCCCCCCTTATTGATATTATGATGATTGTTATCATTAAGATCACATGAAGTGTCAATACCACTTTACAATGCCTTGGTAAGGCCACACTTGGAATAATGCATCCAGTTTTGGTCACCACAATGTAAAAAAAAAAAGTTGAGACTCTAGAAAGAGTACAGAGAAGAGCAACAAAGATGATCAGGGGACTGGAGGCTAAAACATACAAGGAACGGTTGCTGGAATTGGGTATGTCTAGTTTAATGAAGAGAAGGACGAGGGGGGACATGATAGCAGTGTTCCAGTATCTCAGGGGCTGCCACAAAGAAGAGGGAGTCAATCTATTCCCCAAAGCGCCTGAGGGCAGGACAAGAAGCAACGGATGGAAACTAACCAAGGAGAGAAACAACCTAGAACTAAGGAGAAATTTTCTGACAGAACAATTAATCAGTGGAACAACCTGCCTCCAGAAGCTGTGAATGCTCCAACACTGGAAGTTTTTAAGAAGAGACTGGACAACCATTTGTCTGAAATGGTGTAGGGTTTCCTGCCTGAGCAGGGGGTTGGACTAGATGACCTCCAAGGTCCCAACGTTATTATTATTATTACTATTATTACTATTATTACTATTATTACTATTATTACTATTATTACTATTATTACTATTGTTATTATTCAGTTGCCTTGCATGTCCACTGAGAGCGTCTGCACCGGACACAAATTCCTTTTGTTCTAATCATACTTCATAATTCAATTCAATGTTGAGAAGAAAGTGGGGGAAACGATGCAGAAATAAAAGGAATGATGGGTGACTCTTAC